TCAGTTTGCAGCCTGATCCTGTTCCTCCTCCTCTTCCCATTCCAAGTTTGCTTCCCTGCCATCAATTTTCCAGCCTTTTGGCCTATCTCGAATGCGTTAAGCAGCGATTCTTCCGCCGCTTTGTTTAAAACCCTCTTTTGCTGTCTCGGGGATTTCACAGCTGGTATCTGAAGGAGGCCGGGAGGAGGAAACGGGCCCGGCGGTCTCCATCTGGCTCTATTGAACGGGCATCGCCTCTCACGAAAACCATCACCGCTCGGCAGCCTGGGCAGTGGCCAAGGATTAAATGGACTTTACAGAAGGCTTTGGCTTCTCTTACATCATCTCACCCAACAAAAACATAACCGTGTGAAAATCTCTTAAGTATTCTTCGGGGTCACCTAGTGTTTGCTGCGAAGAACCCGAGACGTGGTGAGGTGTGCCCTTCTTAGGGCTTTATCTCCTCTACAAAAGCAGAAGCTATTCAGCCTCGGATCTGCAAGCTGAGCTCCACAGGTTGGTTTCCCCTGCTACTCCAGTTCTTCTTGCCCCTAAATAGATCATTTCAGCCAAAAAGGCACTTGGATGCAGAACCCGCAGATGGAGAAGACTCCGGGTCCTCTTCTCAGTGCTTACTGGAGCCCCAGGCTGCTGGGGAGCGGCTGGGGGAGCTGGGGGGGTTCAGCCTGGACCAGAGGAGGCTGAGGGGAGCCCTCATCGCTGCCTACAACTGCCTGAGAGGAGGGGGGAGCCGGGGGGGTCGGGCTCTGCTCCCAGGGAAGGGGCGATGGGACGAGGGGGGGTAGGGGAGCGGTTGGGCTGGGGGAGCTTAAAGGGCTTTGCCAACCCAAATGATTCTATGATTCTACTGGGAGAGCGCGTGCTGCTGCGGGTGGTGGTTGGCCTGGGTCGCTAATACGCCTCTGCCTCTTCGCGCTGCCAAGAGCGGCTCTGGAAATGCACGGTTAACATTCGACCTGCGGGATTTTGCTGCGCGAGAATGTACCATGTTATGTTGCATTCTGAATTTGCAGTGAGGAGAGAAACAAAATGAACTGGATGCTCTGAAGGAAGAGGTTGGGCTGACGGAGCAGCGTTAACCGATCGACACAGAAGTGGTGGCGGCTGTGGCATGAGCGAGGCGAACGTGGGCTGGGCCTGAGGGGGGAAGAGGCAGTTCCATTAAAACATCAGCTTGAGGAGCTGGGAGCTCACCTCTGCTCCCTGCTCCGACCTTCCCCTCCCTGGACAAATCCTCTGTGCCCCTCCGTTTGCAGAGCAGGGCCAGCATCACCTCAAGATTTATCTTCACAAAGATAAAAAGATTTATCTTCCCAAAGATAAATCTGTGCGTTATCGAGCTGCCTGATGACGTGCCCGTCTATTCTGAAATCATTTTTATTCCTCTCCTGAATTTTTACCTTTTATTTTTTTTAACGGAGTGGTTTTGGCTTAGATTTTTCTTTTTTAAAGCAGATTCAGGAGCAATTGCTGCCAGGTATGCTTCTGCTCTGGGGTAATTAGTTTTGTCTGCTGTAATTGCTTCTCCTTTTTCCATTGTTTATTGAAAGACGAATGAATTTCCAGGTCTAGTTGCATTGGGAATGCTGACAGCAGCTTTTTTAAATCCCATAGCACAGCTATTTGTCTTTCTTCCTCAGCTGAATCCTGCAGAGTGGGCCAAATTCGGCTTCGCCTCTGTGTTCCGGGCAAATTACTACACTAATTAATTTCTCTAAGGCTGGGGCCTCCTTCCTGCTTAACATAGGGGAATGATGAAATGAGGGCACTCTGGACAGAAAACAGCAACAACCTGGGATTAACTTGCTGAGTAAACCTGCATGAAGAGACATGAGAGCCTGACCATTTAAAAGTAAGGTTTTACGTGATTTTTTAAAAATATATTAGTTATTAATTTCACATCCTCCTTCCTAAGAATGTCTTGGGTCCCGAGAAGCGGGCTACGATCCATTGCACTGCGTGGTTTTTCTGTCCGTGCTCCCCTGGTTTATCGCTGCAGGCATCGCTGTTGGAGTGAGCGGAGCTGACTTTAAAAGAGAAGAATTGGCCTTTTCCTTGGGAATGAGATGACAGAAATTATTGCTGCTCCTTAAAAAGGAGGAAGGGGAGCTCCAGGTGGCAGCAAGAGAAGGGACAAAGAGGGGACAGCGGCTGGAGAACTGAGTGGGTACCGAGAACATCGGTGACGGTGGGAGACGGTGAACGGTGCGTCAGAGAAGGGCTGCGCGGCAGCGCTCGGCCAGCCAGCTCGTTGGGATGCCAGGAGAGAAGGACTCTGCAGAGGGAAGCTCCTTTTGGCAGAGCTTCGGAAGAAAGACAGAGGGAAGCAGCACGTGCTTGGACTTCCCAGGAACTTGAGTGAAAGGATCCGAGCGCTTGGGGTGCTTGAGCTGGCAGAGCTGAGCCTAAGCCAAATAATCACTTGTTAAGGCGTGAAAGCAGCAGGAGGCTTCCTGAGCCCATGGCTCGGTGATAGAGTAAATCCAGCTTTAGGGCACCTTGTGCTAATCCAAGAATGCCGTGGCCCCGTCAGATGGAGCGCTGATCCAGATAAACGCCCTCTGCCGGCTCGGATGTGTCCCAAACGCTTTGGCGGGTTAAGTTCTGTACCAGCAGGCCGGGTCTTAGCTGGCTCCAAGACGCCAAACCAGGTTTTGCACATCCCCTTGCAGGCAGCGTAGCGAGAAAAAGCTGGCGTGAGTTCTGTGCCGGGGGTTGTAGCTGGTTCGGCAGAGACGAACCTGTGCCGGGGCTGGTTCAGCTTTGTGTTTGCTGGACACTGGGCAGGGTCTTGTTTCAGAAAGGAAAAAGCAAACTGGGAAAATGGTGAAACATTTTTCTAGTGAAGCAGATTTCATTAGGAAATGCTGGGTTGGCAAAACCTTTGAAAAACCTGGAGCGGTAGCTAAACCAGAACACCTCCCTACTTCGGTCTGCTGCGTGGGAACTTGGGAGGGGACCACCCCGAACCCTGGCGAGTGTCACTGGGAAGTTTTGTCTTCCCATGGATCTGAGGTTTGCCAACGCCCAAGTCCCCCCCAGGCTGCTGTCCCCCGAAGGACGCCTGGGTTTCCCTGGAAGACAGCCCTTCCTACCAGGGAACGTCGCGGCTGCAGGCTACCGGCGTGGAGCTGGATGCC